GCCTGCATTTCGCGCACTCGACACGCACGATCTCCGCAGAGGGTTGCATTTTCGGTTGACGCTGTTCGTCCCACCCTCCGCCTTTAAGAGAGAATTTATAAAGTGGGGAAATGTTTTTCATTCATTAGGACAGCTCCATACTCACACTTGCCTACTCATTGTTGCCTACTCATTGCATGCTTGCCTACTCATTGCATGCTTACACTTGCATACTTACACGTGCATTACACTTGCATACTTTGACACTTGCATACTTTGCACTTGGATGCTTTCGCTCTTCCACTTACACTGTGTCGAAGTGTCAGTGTTCAAGGGATTTTCCGGAAGAACCCTTCGCAATGCTTTCGGGAATAAGGAAAGAAGGAAGGTAGGGCCCAAAGAGACCTCTTCAAAAATGGACACGAACAAAACTTGTCCTATCGGCTGTGCTCTTGTGAACTTTCTCCCTAAAGGGTTGCGTCTTTGTGAGTGCTCTCACCACATTCAACATTCTGAAGAAGACCCTGAAAATTCGATCCACATACCCTTTGAACCCTCTTCTTAGTCTCAATCTCCCAAGTTTCTGGTAAATGCTGCGTCGACTAGAGGCTGCTTGCCGTCCGCCGCTTGCAAAGTGCCTGCCACCAGGCTTCGGCTCACACATGCTTTGGATTAAACTCATACCTTCCTTTATAATATGTAAATATATACACATTGTTTAGCTTCTTCAACGTTGAGTGGTTATATATATATAATATATATATATAGAAGAGTCAACTTGCCTGTGGATTTCTTGAAGTGGTTGAGGGACTGGCGCAGGTTGTGACGGAGACCGGAGGCAGTGAAGATCTGCCTCTCATCTTTGGCCTCGCACTTGGACATACTTAGGGAAGCATCGTCCGCCATGCTCATGCACATGGTATCGTCATAAGGGTGAACAGGAGCGCTGTTCCTCAAGCGAAAGTCTTCTGCGTCACTGCTGGTAGGTTCCACCAACCAGCGGTCTTGACCACCATTGAGGACCTCCGTGCAGCTCATTGAGAGATCTGCTGGTTCCATCTTCAGCTGTAACAAAGATGACAAAGACCCATCCCCGCTCGAGACCATCGTTGGAAAGGATGTGGGGCATTCCACAAGGTCAGAAGGGTCCCAAACTGCCCATGAATTTGATGAGTTCGTGTAAAACAAGCACTGCAAAGCGCCGATTTGTGAACCTGGGGCGCACAAAAAGAACTCTCCCAATTTTGCTGTGCACGTGGATGTGCTCCACATTGGACACCACTTTGACTGCACACTTCGAGAGCATCTGGCACTCACTGCAAGACCATTCGGAGATTTTGTTACTCGTCCAAAAGGCTGCCTTTCCAAGCATCCATCTTGTCCTGAAACCATCGCGCCATCTCTTTCAAAGTCTACTTGCACGAAGGATGGCGCACTCCTTTCGGCAACCTTCTTCCACTTCGCTTCGTTCAAATGTCCCGGCACCAAATCAGACCCAATGAGTGATAAGAATGACAGAATTCAAACAGGCCATTCAGCCGAAATGACAAGAACACTACAAGCAATTCTCAGCCGTCGGAACAATAGCCTGGAGGTCTTATAGCTCCTTTCACCCCCCCCCAAAATGTGCACATCCAAGATGCTTGATGCTGTTGCTCTTGGTACGCCGCATAGTTGGGGTGAATGATTTGCGCACATTGCCCGCAAGCAAAGCCACTCAGTCCGAACTCCATGTCTGGACCCCACCACTGCCCACCAGTACAAGAGATTGTGTATGTCGCATTCCTTGCGCCAAGAACTCCTTCTGGCGTCACTGCGGCATATCGTTCCTCCCAGCAAGAAAAAGTGAGCCGTGTGCCAGTCCGGAACTCCTGCGGCAATCTGCGCTTCTGCTGCCAAGCTTCTTCCTTCTCAACAAGAGAATACACACAGCCAAAGCATCGTTCGATCCCAAGCCCTCCAAGTAGAAGCTTCGAGTCGCATTGTTCTACCAAAGATTGATGACGACATGGCTTGGAGGCTCCGTATGCTCCTGTGCTTGCATTCAAGAAGGCGCGCCGTTTGCTGACAGCCCAGCACTTGGCACCATCAGCTATCCGGCAAACTTCTTCGTCTTCCTTCGGCACAGAAGCCAACATACCAGAAGCACTCTCGACCATCAGGAGGCTGTGGCAATCCTTGTATAGCCGGCATTGCTGAAGAGATGCCGCGGTTCCAAACCACACGAACTTGCACCCGAAACTGAGTAAGCACTCGTCTCGACATTGCTGCATGTCACTTGGCTCGTACTGTGACACAATCAAGCTTGCTTGCTCACACATGTAAGAGCCCTGAGCAATTTCAATGACTTTCGGCCTGAACACATTGTTGCTTCCAGCTGGCACCGACAAAAAACTATCGGAGATGACGGGGGCATGGTTCCCCCATGACATTGGGAAGCAATCGCAAGGATGGAGCGAGAAGTCATTAGGAGTTGCAGTGGTAGGGTCGTCGATGAGAAAGGCATCTGGCTGTGAATCTGCATTCGTTTCATTCATTCCAAGCCCCAGGGTGGAGCACAAGTCGTGCTGCAAAGTCAACATCAAATCTTCACCAATGTGCGACTTTGCATGGCTCACCTTCAACTCCGCCTTACCTTCAGCAAAGGCCACTAGTATGGGAGAACTGCCATCGCGACCTTCCAAACAAGCAACATGCTCACCAAAGAGTTCCATGTAGCTTGCCGAATCTTGAAAATCCCAGGTCGCATTGCTCCTGACGCAGAAAATGAAACAAGCGACGAGGCATAAAAGGTGGTGGATGCATCAAAAAAAGAGAAACACAATGCTTCACCCGTACACGTGTGTGTGATGGATGAACTCGCAAAAAATAAGACTTTCTAGGAGCTTCATTGACCGCGAACTCTCCTCAACCCGGGTCCTGGTCAGAAGCAGCCCTTGAGCAGCACACTTAGCCTCTGGATCCGTCGCAGCACCTTGCATATAGAACAAATCTTGCGCAGTCACCACGACCTCCTTTTTGATGTATATCCAACTGAGCTTGTCGGTTTCAGGCTCTACAGCAAGTGCTGAAGGGCAGAACTGCCCCTGATATAGCCAAACAGGTTGTCTAGCCGTCAAACTCAAACAAGTCTTTCCCAAGCCGCAAGTGGAAATTTTCTCGGTGGCGGATGGCAACCAGTGGCAATCTGGAGAATGAGGGCCGCAAGGAATCAAAAAGTAGCATTTGGGAGTGCTGAAATTGTTTTCCACCCATTTGTAGACTCCGCAGTGTCCGTCTGCACGGCAATCAGCACGGCACTTTGCTTCTGAAAGGTCATGCTGTTCTTGCATAATCCATCCGTGCACACTCTCAAGCGCCGGAGCCCAACAAGTAGAATCTTCTATGAAAATGTCGATATCTCCACGGATGGGAGGCACAGGAATGCCAACCTGCCATTCAAAGTGACCCAAGATGATACAAGATAATTTCACGCTTGCTCTTTGCTTGTTGGTCTGCAATAGGTCGAAAAGGTGTGACAGGCTGGCTTCAGGTGACACATGCAATGCGCCAGACTGGGGATCTAAATGGAAAACGCTGAAGCCTGAGGCAGATGCCTCGCCACTCAACTCATCGAAAATCACTTCGAACTCCTTCTGATCTGCCTGACATGAAGCTGAGTAACGAGATGGTGGCACATGTCCTCCTGGCAGGCCACCATCCATGGGCTGCATGGGGTTCAAGGAAATGTTGAGGGCCACAGCAAGACTTTGACGAGGATAGCAAATGGAACTCCAAATCTGCGGGGTGACCACCACGACAAAGGCCTCTCGGGACTCATTCGTTGCATCACTGACGCGGCAAAGACTTCCGCTTGCCTTTTCCAAGCCTGGGACATTCAATGCTGTAAGCCCAGGGATTTGTGAGGCATTTGTGGTATTTGGCTTCACAAGCATGGTGCCATTTCCATTCAATTCCAGCCATTTGCCTTGTTGTGGCAAACAAGCCACAGCCAAGGATTCAACGATCCTGCTTGAATGTTGGGCAGGGAATGTCTGGCTACGATCTGCTGGCACAATGAGCATTGAACTTTCCCAAGCCAGGAAATTGGACACCTCCACGACCAGCTGCGTAGTGAAGTTCATGCCCCCTTCATGTGCAGTGATGGCGCATGAAACGTGGGAACTTTCACTCCTCACTGGCCAGGTTGCTGGTGCATTGCTTTACATGTCTCTGTACGCGTAAACTATCGTAAACTGCTGCCAGAAGCAAGAAGAAAATCTGCTGAGAATAACAAGGGGCCATCTTTGTCCACATCCAACTGTGGAGCGCCCGGGCACCAGCTTCAATGCGCCTTGAGCGAGACGTCTACACGGGTGATCGTGTTGGGTTGGTTTTGTTCTTGGAAATTGCCGGTAGCCCTGGCGAAAAAGGAAACTACTTGCATTCAGTGCAACAAACTCCCCTTTGGTGAACAGCAACGACGGACTCCGAAGGACTCCGAAATCTGTCGCAGGGAAGAAACGGAAGGGCCAAAACAACTTTCATTACTTGTCGCTCAATAAAACAGGAGAAAACAACAAATGGTTTTCCTCTTTTGTTAAATCTTCATCCTTTTGATCGTCTTTAGACCTTGTCTTTAGAACTTTGAACCCGTCTTGTTTCTGGTCTTTTGAATTTTCTTCTTCACCAACATAAGATCTCACGGGGCCTGTGTGGCCATCTACAGTCAAGTTGAGATCCAGCAACGCGCAGCTGGAATCCATTGAATAGCGCTCGGCCGTTCGTGGCAGTGGATGTCCGACGACATCTCCTCAGTGCTGGATGCCAAACAACTGTCGGAACTATTGGGCGAGGTCTTCCAATGCTTCTACACCCGCCGACACCCATACAATCTTCTCGTTGAAAGGGTTCACCTGGCGTTCAGTCCTTGTGCTTGAAATGAGGAGTATCTGTTGCAAACTGACCCAAACACTGTCTGTGGATGAGCAGGATCAACATGCGGCCGCTAATTGGCCACATGCAAACATGGCCAGCCCTAGAGAAAGAAGTGAACCCAGCTTTGCAACACAACAGCGCATGGTCTTCACAAAGTGGTGGTTTGCAGTATCTGCGCAAGTATGCCCTTTTCCGTTGTTTTAGCCGCTAGCCTTTCAGCTACACCGCCGACCTCACTACTGTAAGTCGGCTGTGGGCTACAAACACGCCTGGCTTGCAGCGCCGGCAGAAGATATTTGACGGACTCTTGTTGGATGTTGGAACTTTGCTCAGCGCACGCTGTCAGACTGTTCCAGCAGTTTCCAAAGGACTCTTTCCCCTCCCTCCTTATCTCAGCAGAACCTCCCAACTTTGCAGCTGATTCCTTGTGGAGGTTTTGAGTTGGTATGGAGGAGGCGGACGGAGCAAAACAAAACCCCACACCACTATTCGCCCTCTCTCACCCCATGCCAACCTTGTCTGAGCAGGATAAACCTGTGCCGCATGTGACACTTGTTGACAGCTGAGCCACCCAAAGCATTGCTGCTGCCTGGGAAGGCTACAACCAACATCTACAGGTGGCGTTTCCTAGCGACAATAAAAACGCAGTCGACACACGAGAATCACAGAAGCAAAGAAGAACGCATGTAAAGGGTATCATCCAAGGAAGGAACCAGCGTGGCTGAGAGAGTGCAGCCGATCACCACAAAACTGAACACTCATGGGCAAAGACGCAGCTAGATGGCAACACCGCGCCCAAAACCTGTGTGGCAGCGAAACATGCGCAGCAGTGCAACATGCAAAACCACAGGCATCTTCAAACACATGTGTTACATGTGCAACAAAGAGCCGCGGGTTCCAGCAGTCGCACAGCCCTCTGCGCAGCGCCCAAAGTTTTAGCGTTCCACGTTTCAACACCGACAGCACGCATCCAGGGGCGCACCATACCGACAGCACACCACCGCCAGCAAGGTTGACGGTTCACGGTTGATTTCCGCGGCCAGAGGGCAGCCCTAGCCTGCGTCCGAGCCTAGGAAACTACTACTTACACCTTACTACTAACTATTTAAGCTTACACCGACAGGCCTGAAAAAAGGACGGTCAAAAAAGAAGACGCTACTAGGGGCTCCTGGCATCGCTACTAGGAGCATTCTTACTACGAACGTAACAAGAAGCTAAGAAGCTATTAGATGGGAGGCAAAAACACCATTCATCCCGAGCGTCTTTGGCCCAGCAGCATCGGCTCTGTATAGTAGCGGAAGGGTGTGGCTTCCCTCATCCCGCCACCACAAGCCTGAACAATTCACCACTGTTTTCCTTCCAATGCTTTATTGGAAGCACAGTTTTTCATATGTCTCTCATTCATTCTTTCACATTTGTTTCAAGAGCTTTCTTCTTTATTCTCTTCATTCATTCATTTCATTTCATTCCATTCCATTTCATTCCATTCATTTCCTTTCGTTTCGTTTCATTTATTCATTCATTTGTTCATTCTCAATGTGGTGTTGGTCAATCACCATTTCCTCAGCTTCTGTCAAGTGTCGCAACAGGCCGTGGCAGAAGAGGTACCGTGGAAACCTCGCATCAGAACACAATGGGTGCAATGTTGGCAATGACAGCAAGAAACGTACACGTAACTTTCGAAGAGAAAGAACAAGAAGAAAGGAAGGACGCTACTAGGGGCTCCGGGCATCGCTACTAGGAGCAAACGGCATCGCTACTAGGAACAAGGATGCTAAAGAAGAAACAAGAAAAACGAGAAGGTCTAAAGAAGCTACTAGTAACAAGTCGCTTCTAGTAACAAGTGCCTTACTAGTAGAAACAAGAAGCTATAGAATTTAATTAGAATCTAATTAAACTTAGTATTAAAGAAGGCTACTAGGACCAAGAAAAACAAGAAGGTCTAAAGGTCTGAAGAAACATAAAGTCTAGGGGAATTGAGAACACTTCAGTCTGATTTTTGTAACTAAAACAGTGTCACATTAATGCAGAAACTAGAGAAACTAGATTCACAAGACTGTCACATAGGAACTATACTTTTACTCAAAGAACGAGCCACATATCATTGCAGTTTGATTTTGAACAGTGAATTGCAACAAAAAACAACTTCAAGTAGCAGCAAAAATACGTGTTCTTTCGAGACTATTTCGATTCCAAGCATCGTTTGGAACTGCATTCTTCCCGAGTAAGCGCGAAGCAGTTTCTGCCGTCTGGATCACGCCATGGAATGTCCATGCAGGCAGTGCAGCGTCCGTTCTCGAGGACCCAACCGCCACGACACCTGACATACTCTGAGGGCCCTACGTCCTGACAACCCTCATGTTTAGGGCAAAACAAAGGAGGGACAGAGAGCAACATTTTTTCAAGATCCCAAACAAAGGACACGTGTCCTCTGGAGAACAAGATGGTCTCCTTTGGGAAGCAACCAGTTTGTTGTTCAACGCTGCTAGGTTTAATAGCCTGTCGCATAGGCCACTGAAAGTCTCCAGCTTGAATTAAGCTTCCACATCCAAACCAAAACGAACCGATGTAGCTTGCCCTGTGCTCACACTGAACCCAAACGCACTCTGGCAATAGAACTAATATTGGACCCAAACGCAAAAAACAATGCAGGAAAACCACATCCTGCAAGGACAACCCAAAAGACGGGCTGCAACTGGAAATGCAACGACCGCGTGACTTTGACGTGAAAGAACGGAGGCAAACCACGCTCAGTAGATATCAGCAAGACGCACGTATGCTGTGTTCGTCCCTCTATCTATGCAGCAGAAGCGTCGATCGAAACCGGTTGGCTGCGATGCTGCATTCCACACTAGTTGCTGAAATGCATTGCTTGAAACAGTCACCCCGGCGCCCGTCCTGTCCGTGCTTTGTGCAGGTCTTGTGTTTTCTGCCCGGTTGTCCTCCTTGTGGACTTCTTACTGCCCTTCCAATGCCTTTTTTTGTGCTAGAATCATTCTATTGTCCCTCTTAAAGGACTCCTTCTATCCTTCAAGCACCCTTGAAATCGGTGCCTGCCGCAGCCATCTCCATGCTGATTGGGCATGGCGCAACCACCACACCAGGGCTCCTTCCACGGACAGCAGAAGCCGCCCTTGTCTGATCCGTTGCGCGCCCACACAGCAGTGCCCATCCCACGTTTGCAAAAGCCTTGAGAAGTTCCAAGCAAAACTTCTTCTTTCCTCATCTGCCCCACGTCCTCTTTCCGGCAAGTCTCAAAGAAACCTCCCTTCTGCTCGATGGAAGGACTGAGCTTTGTTCTTCGCTGTTGTAATCCAACAAGCGTGGCATTGAAGTCAACATCAAGGAGGGTTTTTTGATTCAGACTCGGTCTGAACGACAATCTCCGCCTCGAGCCTTCAAATAGAGTGGCCTCAACATCCAATCTTGGCAACCTATATCTTCACTTCCATTACTCAGCAACCCTGAAAGCAGTATCGGCCAAGCAACTTGCGAGCATCGTTCTAGAATCTTCTGAACAAATGCAGGGCGAAGTGCTTGGCTCGCCTGACAGCAAAACAACATTTTCGGTTCCAAGGACTGGTCACGAGAAACCTACACAGTCAAAGCGGACTTCAAAGTCACAAAAGTTGCAAACACAGAGATTTTAGCTTGTTTTGTTTCTCAAAACCGATGTCTGCTTCAATATGTCAACTGCCTCAAAGGCTTGCGTGGCACGGAGAATGCTCTGCTGGACCACATCCACATCATCTGGCTCTTCGTCAAATCGATCCTTCAGCATCTGCAAATCCTCGCCATGAACGGCGCATGAATGGCACAGGCGCAGGTGGGTTGCTTTCAAGACAGAGTGCTTGTAGGATGTGTTTAAAAGTTACGCGGAATACATACAGGCAAATTTTCCAAGACTTGAATACTTGAAAGCGGGCTAGCGCATTCCTCCAACTGTTCTGGGTGTCCTGGAATAAGATCTCCAACTGTCGGGCCGTTTGCGCAGCGAGGCCCTCCTCCAAATGTTTTCGGGCGGCGTGCTCTGCAAAGCGTTCAGCTTCTGTGCGGCACCATTTCTTGCAGTCCTCGTGAAACAGTTGGTGCAAAGAAAAGCAGGAATCGCTGCAATCGACTGATCCTGCATGAAAAGGTGATATGCCATGACTAACTGCATCTTTGCAAATCGTCAATTTTTGTATGTCAGTGGTTGCTGTACAAAGGCCTGAATGAACACCGATTTGGGGCCAGCGTTTCTTGCGTCGTGGCACGCGTCTTCATATCTATTTTCATCAGGACATTGGGGCAACATCCATTGCAAAACATGTGGGGTAGGTTTTGTCCACCCACTGGTCTTGCGAAGGATCCAAGGTAATGTCAACCCAGTGCGCAGCCTAAAAACACAAGAGGTGAAATGATTGCAAACTCTGCGTGAAGAGAACCTAACACACGAAAAACGACACTCCGTGACACAAGCTAAGGACTTTTGAAGGTTTGTCCTTTTCTCTGTACACTTGTGGCCCAGAGGGGGGTGGCGAAAGCCAGGCAAATAAACAACGCTGGGGCTCTTTAGGCAGCAAAAGCCTGGCCGGGAATCGCAACATGCCATGGCCAAGGGAAAAGGAGAGTGCCAACAGCGCCCCCCCAATATGACCCCAACACAGCCAACACATGGCAACACACAACCACCCCAGCAACCGCCGCAGCAGCAACAGCCACAACAACAATAACTGTAACCAGCAGCGGCAGCGGCAGCAAGCAGAAGCTTCCAAGCAGCAGCAGAAGCAGCAGCAGGAGTAGCTAGCAAGCAGCAGCAGCAGCAGCAG